TGTTTTTATTTTTTTTTCTTTAAAATAAAAATAACTGATGTCAAAAAAAAAGCAATAGATAATAAGCAATGTTATCAACATAATTTTCTCTTAACACTAAATAAAAAATATTACTTGGGATATCCAACTCCTTAAGTCTCAACTAGAGGACACTGAACTACTGAAGTACTCAACTCGCCAAACAGTTTTCTATAAATGGTATTTAGGTTGGGAAAGTGTAGACCAGACTTATTCTCAGAATTCATGAAACCCCCTCACTCTCTGTTTCACACAGTTTCACCACTGAGAGGAAAAGGCATGAAGAAAGTTAATAAAGTTCAAGTTACAAATTAAATGGGAATTTTGATATGGAATTTTCCTATCAAAATATCACAACTTTCTTATTAAGACAATTCACAGGCTTTAGGAAAAAAACCTTTTACTCACTTGTAGCAATTATACTAAAATCATAAAACATACTAAAAAGAATCTAACAAAACTATTAAAATGAGTAAAATACTCTGACCATCCTAATCACATTTTCCCCACAGTTGCAAAAAATCTTAACAGACACTATGGCTACATAAAACTCAGTAATTAATACACACACGCGCGCGCGCGTGTGTGTGTTGAGATATTCTCAATGAAGCAAAGACACAATATTTGACTTCTATTTCTTGTGGAATTTCAATTTCCTTTGGTATAACTTCAAGATAAATGTGGCTTTCAGTTTTAATGGCAAAAAAAAAAAAATGTGGTAGGGAATTGCAAATATCTGTTTTCTTTAAGAAAATATAAGCCATGATATCAGAAAGCAATGAGTGCTACATTTAAATGAGTGCACTCCTCGTAATCTAAGAAATCACTTCTGTGAGCCACAGTCAAGGATATTCCTCTGTACACTGTCCCAGGGGTCAGAGGATTAATCAGTAAAACCTAAGGACCCAATCTTGATCTTCTGTGAATCAAAGCATTCCACAACTAAGGACTGACATGCCAGCACCCTTAACTTTCCAAGGAGACACCAACTCTGCTTTCAAACTCTTGGACAATTTCTAAATTGAATAAAATGCTAAGTATTAAGTCATTAGATTTTTCATGCTACTGGAATCAGGACTGTAAGAGTTGTACAATGTAAGCTCACTTAACTGGAAGACCACAACACTTAAAAGCTGAGTTAGCCAGTATCCTACCAGCAATGGTCTTTAGCTCAAGGTTGATTCCCTGACTGGGGTGTTGGTTTAAACTGTTCTTTGAGGGCAAGCAGAGAAAAGCACCAGCAACACAATGTTTAGTACTCCCCACCCACCAACTCAGATAGCTTTAAATCTCTACAGTGTGCCTCTGAAAGCACATAAGCAGTATCACATGCCTCTACTGAAACATGTAGCCTACTAAGCTAAGTTTTTAATTAGCCATTGCATATTGTATGTTCTCATTTTTAGTAAAAAAAAAAATTAAAACTATATTATTACTTTAGTTACTGCATGATTCTGAAAAACCACTATGCTTGTACATGTGTGACACACACAAATTCTCCATTTAGTTTACAAGCTTTGCTTGTAAGTAACACAACAATAAGGTGCACTGAAGAAACAGCAGAGCAAGTAGGGAAGATACAAAATCTTGGGTGTCACTCTGACTCACTAAAATTATGGGGGGGGGGATTGGGGAAGTCACCAGGTAGCCTCTACTCTCTGCACCTCAGTTTCCACACCTGTGGAATACAGATGAGGGTAACAGCCTACCCCTTCATGGGGCCACTATGAGGAGCACTAGGGTTCATATTTGTAAGCACTGACCATGGTCAACAAGGAATATTCTTTATGCCTAAAGTACATAACATTGAAAATAAAACAAAAAAATGCCTAAGACAATATTTTACTTGGAAAATATAGGCA